AACAACGGTCATGACCAGCAAAGTTCTTGTCAGACTGGAGTTGTAACATTGTAATACCAAACATATTTCTACAAAGTTCATGTATTCCAGCCTGTTTATCAGGCATAGCTGAATGTAGCATTTGCTTTACTTCCTTTTGCTAAATGTGACATTTGTATTGCTGCTCTTGGCAAGGTTTAGCATTTGCATTTAGAGGAGGACAATACTGCTTCAGATACAGACCATTGAAAATAAAGCCTTGTACACATAGCCCAAAAATCAACTTAAAATCTGCTGAACATTTGACCCATACGTACAGCTATCGGCTCTACAGAAGCTGGTCTCACGACTGGCTTCTGTTAAATGTGCTGGAAATCCAGCTTCCAACCCGCATCCGATCAGCGCTTGCAGCCAATAGCTGCAAGTGCTGATCAGTGTGTTCTGGCGGGGGGGAGTCCCCCTGTCAGTATATAATGGTACAGTGGGGGAGATCGCCGCACTAACATCACTTGTGTTGGTACAGAAATCATTTTTTTCTTGTTTAGTCCACTAGGCTTATTGATAGTCAGAGATTAGCTTTTGGTCAGGTCCTGGATTGGTCATTACTTCTTCAAGCAGGCACATAGTACAGTACATGCCTGTGTGTAGAGCAGATGCTCATATTTCCTTTCCCTCATTTCCATTTGTGCAGAATGAGCAGTGCACGTTAGCTGTGGTCATGTGCACTGCTCTATGCAAACTACGAATCCTATAGTGTATAGTCCATAGTCCATCTAGGGAGTGAGCAAGTGAGGGTGGCTACGTTCCTACAAACAGTGGAACCATGGAGAATGAATGTGGCCACCCTCTAGCAGGAAGTTTGATCACAGCAGCGAAGAAAAAAAAAAAAAAGGATTTTGGAGAAATGGAGGAGAAATAGAATGTACTTTTATGAGTTAAAGTGGTTCTAAAGGCTCAAGGTTTTTTACCTTCATGCATTCTATGCATGAAGGTAAAAACACCTGCTGTGTGTAGCACCCTCCCAGCCCCCCTAATACTCACCTGAGCCCTACTGCAAACCAGCAATGTGCATGAGAGCTGGGGAATCTTCCTTATTGGCTGAGACAGCAATGGGAGCCATTTGTGCACAAAAGCTGGGGACTCTCCCTCATTGGCTGAGACAGACCCAATGTCAATCACAGAGGGGGTGGGGGCCGAGCCACAGCTCCGGTTGTGAATGGACACACACAGCAGGGGCTCGGGAGCGAGCCTGCTCAGGTGCCTCCATAGCAAGCTGTTTGCCACCAGCCCTAGGGATTGGGAGGAACCCAGGAGACCATGAACCTAGCCCATATGGATAGTACAACAAAGTATGCAGACATAGCTAATAACATAAACCTATAAGAACCAAGAAACAAGACCTTGGATTAGAAGTTTCAGAGTATGGAAGCAAATGCACAAGGCTACTAGGGCTTTAGCTGTAACATCACAGACTACAGTATGTGAAGACTGGGTCAGCCATTGTAGGGACAGCATTGTGAATGTGTGGCCTTTCCTGGAAAAGGAAGGAGGATCGTAGAACTGATATTTCTGATTGTAGAAGGGTATGTTCCATAAAGGCTTGTCATCTGTGTATGAAGATGTCGATGGAGTGGAATTTTCCCACTTCAAGTTTTTCCCTGTACATGAGAATATTAAGTTTGTTTTTAAAATCCAATATATTTGGCCCCTGTAGAGTGGGGGTTACTGAAAGGCAAATGATTATCCAGTGAAGATTGTTGAAGAGTTTCACCGATTGTGTTGTAGCAGACTGGCCCAGTGAAGTGTGGTAGTTGAACAACATGAGAACACAGTCCTTGGGGATTTGGCAGTGTGTAACCCTAGCATAACTTTAGGCTTAAAATGGAACTATATTGACCTCCATATCAGTGTGATGTCCAGGAGCTTACTTCTGGCTGCTGACACCTTTGGCTGGTCTTCCTCTGTGTTTCACTCTTCAGACATTTTGATCACCTGGGCAGAGGTGACGTCATATGGCACATGCACGGAAGTTCACCTCAGCAGATGTTGAATTCATACACGGAGATGCGCATGCTACATATAGACCGACACTTCCAGAAGTGTCAATCTCCTGTAACCTGCACTGGTTCCTCTCACCAACCTTCATGTCATTACAGCACATGGAGATCGGTGGGAGGAACCAGTGAGCGCTGTAGGGTCATCCAACATAAAACACAAAATAATCTTTGACCCTTACTTCAGTTATAATGCTCTTTTAAAGCTTTACTTACAAAATCATTAATTTGTGATGCATCCAGGGCCAAAATTCTTGATGTATTTCACATGTGATGTTTGGAATAAGAACAGTCATGTGTAAGATGTCATTGAAGGTAGCTGAATTCATAAACTCTTATGAATAACATTTCAAAGAGTATTCCAACTGATGTCAGGTTCACATTTTATTTTATGGCAGGGACATCTTGCCAAAAGTCCTCAGGGAAAAAAAGAAGCCTGGAAGAGACTCATTCGACCAGGATGTACCTATGAATTAAATATACATTCTAGATGAACTGGCCCATTGAGACAGTTACAAATTATATAAAAGTGATAGATCTACTCAAAATTATATGACGGGGCCCTATAGCAATTACATAGTCTATATCTATATCTTTATTTGAGAACCACTATTTCAGAAATTTGCTAAAAACTAGTAAAATCATACTACTTAACATTTGATATTGGGAAACAGGGGTACTTTGAAGTGTTTCTAAAGACAGAAGGGTTTTTTTTTTTACCTTAATGCCTTCTCTGCATTAAGGTAAAAACCTTCTGCAAGCAGCTCCCCCCCAGGCCCCCCTTATACTTACCTAAGCCCAATCTGAATCAAGCGATGTGCACAAGAGCAGAGACTCTCTCCCTCCTCACTGGCTCAGACACAGCAGCGGGAGCTATTGGCTCTCGCTGCTGTCAATTACAGCCAGCAAGGAGAGAGCAGGGGTGGGGCCGAGCTGCACTCTGTGTGTCTTGTGGACACACAAAGCCAGCTCGGGAGCAAGCACACACGAGCGTCCTCAGCAAAAACTGGCTAGGAGCGGAGAAGAGGATCAGGGCTACTCTGTGCAAAACCATTGCACAGAGCAGGTAAGTATATCATGTTTGTTACTCAAATAAATAAATATATATATATATATATATATATATATATATATATATATATATATATATATATATATACACATATACACACATACACATATACACACACAGTTAGGTCCATATATATTTGGACGCAGGCACACTTTTCATACCTTTGGCTCTGTATGCCACCAGAATAAATTAAAATGAAACAATCCAAATGAATTTGAAGTGCAGACTTTCAGCTTTAATTCAAGGGGTTCAACATAAATGTCAAGTACAAATTTTAGGCACTGCAACCATTTTTATACATAGTCCCTCCATTTTCAGGGGTTCAAATGTAATTGGAGAAGTGGATATAATCATAAATAAAATGTTCATTTTTAATACTTTGTTGAGAATCCTTTACTGGCAATGACTGCCTGAAGTCTGGAACCCATGGACATTACCAAAGACTGGGTTTCCTCCTTTCTGATGCTTTGCCAGGCTCTAACTGCAGCTGTCTTCAGTTGTTCTCTGTTTGTGGGTCTTTCTGCCTTTAGTTTTGCCTTCAGCAACTGAAATGCATGCTCAATTGGGAAGAGATCAGGTGATTGACTCGGCCATTGCAGAATATTGCACTTCTTTTCCTTCAAAAGCTCCTGGGTTGCTTTTGCAGTGTGTTTTGGATCATTGTCCATGTGTACTGTGAAGTGCCGTCCAATCAGCTTTGCTGCATTTGGCTGAATCTGGGCTGACAGAATATCTCTAAACACTGCAGAATTCATCTGGCTGCTTCTGTCTTCTGTCACATCATCAATACACACCAATGACCCAGTGCCACTGGAAGTCATGCATGCCCATGCCATCACACTGCCTCCACCATGTTTTACAGATGACGTTGTGTGCTTTGGATCATGACCTGTTCCAAGCCCTCATCACACTTTTTTCTTCCCGTCATTCTGGTACAGATTAATCTTAGTTTCAGCCATCCAAAGAATGCTGTTCCAGAATTGGTCTGACTTTTTTAGATGTTTTTTGGCAAATGATAAACTGGCTTTTCTATTATTCAGGCTTGTGAATGGTTTGCACCTTGTGGTGAACCCTCTGTATTTGCTCTGGTGAAGTCTTCTCTTGATTGTAGACTTTGACAATGATACGCCCACCTCCTGGAGAGTGTCCTTCACTTGTCTGGATGTTGTGAATGGGTTTTTCTTTACCATATAGAGGATCCTGCGATCATCCACCACTATTGTGTTCCGTGGATGTCCATGCCTTTTTATGTTGCTGAGCTCACCAGTGCGTTCTTCTTTCCTCAGAACGTACCAAACTGTTGATTTGGCCACTCCTAATGCTGCTGCTATCTCTCTGATGGATTTGTTTAATTTTTGAAGCCTTTCTATGGCCTGTTTCACTTGCATGGACAGTTCCTTTGAATGCATGATGTAGGTTCACAGCAATAGATTCCAAATGCAAATACCACACTTATAATCAACTCCAGACCTTTTACCTGCTTAATTGATGAAGAAATAATGGAGTTGCCCACACCTGGCCATGAAACAGCTTTTGATTCAATTGTCCAATTACTTTTGGTCCCTTGAAAAAGTGGGGATGGCTACTCTTAAGAACTGTAATTTCTAATCCCTTCCTCCAGTTTGGATGTACATGTCCTCAAATTAAACCTGAGAGTGTGCACTTGCAGCCGATATCCATTTTATAACTATAGCTTGAATATGTTTTGGTAAACGCCTGAAAAAAAACTAAAATTTTTCCTGTGTCCCAATATATATGGACCTAACAATCACTTTAAACACAAAGTATTTAGGCCTTTGACCAGGAGCAGACTGACCATTTGGGAACTCGGGCACTGCCCGAGGGCCCTGGGTCAGTAGGGAGCCCTATGAGATGCCCCTGGTACCTTTTCATAGGCTTTTTTGGGTGTGGTTTGATTGTGGGCAAGGACACAGGGGCCCCATGATCCCCTATTGCCCGGGGGCCCCATGAGTTGTCAGTCTGCCCCTGCCTTTGACACAACCTCAACATACTAGCCATAAAGAATTAGTGTGAAAAAATAATAACTAAAACTGGCCATAGATGGATCAAAATTAGTCTGGTTCAGCAGGGACTGGCTGAATTCCCATCCATGTGTGGGTGCTCCTGTTTGAAAAAAGTTGTTTAACAATCAACTTCAGTTGATTGGGAATATTGAAAAATTCATATTTGATCAGAGGCTGCAGCCAATGGGCTGTAGCCACTGATCAGTGTATTCTGAAAGCGGACTAGTCTCATTTTCAGAATACGATGGCACAGAAGTCCTCTATTCACCTCAATTTTGTGGATGGGGAAATCTATTTGTTTTTGTTTTTCAAGCAGCCTGTTGTTGAGACATCTATGACCAGCCTAAGACCTAGTTCACACAAACATATGCACAAAACTCATACAAAACACACTGATTTGAAACTAGCATTTGAACATTACTAATTCAGTCATTTGAAGGTGAAATGCTTAATGCAATTGTTTATTCATAGCAATATGTACATCAGATCCCAAAGAAGGACAATTGAAGAAGGACGGAAGGATTTGATTCCAATAGGTGGGCTGTCCCTTCAAATAAGTGAGTTGGGAACTATGGTAAAATAGCTGCACCTCAGCTTACAAAATAGTAGCATGTCTTGCATGTGACAGGTACACTTTACAGTCTTTAGCATACCTTGGGTAAGAGCAAGATGCAGTCGTTGTTTCTGGGAGGAGCAGGAGACGGCCATATAAAATCAGGTGTGACATATTTGCTCAGTGAACAATTGCATCCTTGGAATTAAGGCGTGTATTTTTCTATCTGTTCAGCTCTCATGAGTTTCATTTAATCTGACAAACTTTAAAAGTAGCTGAACCAGCAAGCGTCATACATATTTATTTTTCCATTTTATTTCAGCATCCATAAATCCCTGTTATATAATTATATTGATAATTCCTGGTGTATGCGAACGGTTAAATAAAGGTGTGTCCTTAGGCAAACAGCACACCTGCCTGTGCATTCAGGGCTATTATATAAATGAATACAGTACTGCATGGATATGAATTTCCATCCATGGTGGTGAGAAGAGCTGTAATATTAGGATCAAAGCCCTGCTGTCGGGGAAGGGGGGGGTCTGAAAAGCCATGTAGCTTGTGGTCACTGGTCTTTGTTTTTACAATACACTTCACTTTTAATGAATGCTTGAGTAATAGCTGTGCATGGTAACCAATCAGCTTCTAACTTCAGCTTCTTCAATTAAGCTTTGACAATAAAACCTGGAAGCTGATTAGTTTCCATGAAAAGCTACACCAGATTTTGCACTCTCCAGTTTTAGTAAATAACCCCCACTAAAAAAAATATTTTTTTAAAATATATTCTTCAGATTTTTTTTAAACATAAAAAAAGTCATTTTAATATATATTTTTACATATATTTGTATAAAGGTTTGCCATTTTTTATTATTTTTGCTGTCTGCAACACTGTTGGAAGGTCTTCACCTCATTTTCTGCCCCTGTAACAGAAAGATGAAAGGAGATGTTGTAAATGAGTCAGGAACACAGAGTAAATGTAATATGACAGAGGTCCCAACACTCCCCCACTTGTGGTCCATTGGAGAGAATTCATGAGACATACTGTAAAGTGTGGAGACTGCCCATTATGGGGACACCTCTTTTCCAACTGTAATTGGCCTTAACCCCCCTGGAGGTATTCCCAAGTGTAGCTCGGGGTTAACTTTCAGTACCAGAAGCGGTAACCCCGAGCTACACTCAGGATTACACTGCAGTGTTGCTCTGGGATCCCTCAAGCACTTACCGCGATGTCCCTCCTGCACGTCCCCGGCCATGTCCTCTGGCTGATGCCAGCATCCGTCTTCTGTTCCCTGTGAGCGTCGGGACGTACGGGGGACGTAACCAGTGGGAATTTAAAAAATGTAAAAATTTGACATACACTAAAATCTGATAGTATTACATTACTGTATCAAACCATTTCACATATGGTACATAGACCAGCTAGAGAACAGCGAGAGTAAATCAGAACTACTTGCAGAATTGAGTGATGATTCGTGGGGAAATTCGTTATCAGACACTGAAAACGATTTTGCGACTTTGCTCAGTGATGTGCGAACTTGGCGCTCTATTTCAAATTTCAGTGTTTTTGGTTTGATTACATTATTGAATTAAATGTATTATTATTATAGTATTATTATTGATGATTATTATATTATAATTTATGATTTCGTGTTTCAAATTTTATCATACCTGGGATGTTTATTAGACTCTTGTTCGGACAGATTTAAATGAGTTATTCCTAAGAATTACAGGCCTACAATAAAAAAACAACATATTTCCATTGACAACAATGTACCGCTTTGAGCACAGAAATACTGACATAATCAGACCGCTAGGGAGGTTAAATTACAGGTACCACTTAATGTTTGTTGTAATATTATCTGTACTTATTATTAGCTCCTGACCTGTAACATATGCAAAAAGTCAGGAGCTCTGACTTAAAGTGGACCTTGCACCTAAAATGAAAGGTCCACAATAAAACAGGGTCCCTCTCCCCTGCTGAAATGCAGCATAAACATTTAAAAATAAAAAATGTAGGGGAAAAGTTAGATGGTATACTTACTTTCCATTGGCTTCTGCCTGAGGCACGTAGGTGATGGTGATGCCATCCAGCTTCTATCTGGGGAATATAGAGGACCCAATTCTTGCTCTGAAGATGCATCCAGCACTATGCTGCAAGGCCTTCTTGTGAGATTAGGAGTACTTGGGATCTTGTCAGCAGGAGTGTACTGTCATCCCCTGCGCTATGGAGGCCAAAAAAAAGGTAAGTATATTTTCTATCTTTTCCCCCCTCAACAGGTGTTTTTTGACTATTCACCTCAGCGTAGGTTTACGGTAAAGTGTAACTACATTGCATATTAGCACCAAAAATACCTTTTCATTTTTTTTATTATTCAAAGCAAATTCACCCATCTGTCCATATCTTCATGCTTAATTTTGCTGAGAAATCACTTTGAATTGAAAAACACTCTCCAGAATTTCTGGCTGTGACCATCATGAGTAAGGTCAGATGATTCATGCAGCATTTACTTTCTGGAATCCATCTGCCCTTAGCTCAGGCATGCAGACAAGAGGGTGTGCTTAGCTGAGAAAAACCCCTCCTGATGACTCCTGGGATGTATGACATTATTTGCCTAGGCCTTGAAACCAAGTAACTGAAGAAATGTAAAAGAAAATGTTTAAAACAAGTAAATATGATATACTTTCCTATCTGTATACTAATGCTCTAAGCATAAAGATTAAAAATAATCAATGTTGATTGAGAGAGTGAAGTTCCACTTTATAAAACTTTAACTGAAGCAAAATTTCTGATCATCTGCTACAGGTAACAGCTCTGCTGCAGATCGAAATTGCTAACATCATGTGAAAATCTGTTATATGGTATAGCCAATACTATGCTACCATATTGCAACTTTCCACTTTTCCTTCCAACCTGATCCATAGATGACTTTGGATTGGTGGTTATGGGTATATTAAATCATCTGGGGCAGATTTACCATTAGGCACAGGGGCAAAAAGAGGAATACCTTTTCTATATAGCCAATGGCCTCAAATTAGTTTCTTCATCATCAGTTGAACTATGCTGTCATCTATGAGCTCATCTACACATTGGGGTTCATTTACTAGACTGATAACATTGCAAGGTCAGTTGCACTTTGAAAATGAAATTGCCCCAGAGTTTAGTGAATGTGGTGAAATTTTACTTTAGAAAGAATACTCAATCGTCTGCAATGAAAATACAAAAAAAACAGCATTTTTGCTTGCACATGATTCAATGATGGAAGTCAGCAGAGCTTCACCTCATTCATAAGCTGTGGGAAAATTAGCAAAACTTGAAAAGTGAACAGTTAATTTTGCCTTTCATAAATCAACCTTATTGTCACAATATTCTAAGCCAGGTCCTGCCAGTAAAACAATAACATGTTCTGTGTAAGCCCCGGTTCACATATATGCGGCTGTGCGGGCCGTGTTTTGCGCGGGCACGAGAGCCCATTCATTTGAATGGACTACCGTGCCCCATGACATGCAGGGAAGTCCCTGCACTTCTTTGGAAACTGCAATCCGCACGGGAACTGAGGTTCCCAGTGCGGTTGCGATTTCAAGTGCGGGCGGCGTGCCATTAGAATTAAAGGCACCCGTCCGTGGGTCCGCATTTCTCTGTGCGGGTGGTGCAGCTGCATGGATATTTGTGCGGATCCGCAGCGGCGGCACCTGCACATATGTGAACCAAGCCTTAAGGAGGAGATACCAGCAGAGGTGTGTTGTATTGACCCTAGTAGTAGATGCCAAATGTTGTATTCCTACAAGCTCCAGTGATGGAAATACAACCAAGAAATCACTGGTCCAATAAATCCTTTTTTGAATGTAATAAATAAATAAATATAATACACAGAGTTAATTTTAAAAACCAGAACAAATATTTGAACATTGCGTTTGCTGTTTATTTTATAGATCTCATTGGAAGAGAAAAGGAGCTGGTATTTCACAATGGCCTCTCTCTGTATGCGGTAAGTCACTTCCAAGTAAGACTACATTTTGGTATGGGTGGGTTGGTTCCATAGCAAATGTAGGATCTAGCTTGTAAAAAGATTCCAAGACATCGAGTAAGTGTACCTTGTGGAGTCATTTTGGAGGGCCTGGTATTCCATAGTTGGCACAACCAATATGCCAGGTCTTTGTGACTAGTATTTTGCTGGGGAGTATGGGGGCGGGGGGGAGGGGGGATATATGAATTTAGAGCTATAGGTAAATGTTTTCTTAGAGGGTACCTCAAGTTTTGGGCTCTCAGGTCAAAAACTACAAGAGGTTTTCAGTGCCTGATTTTGACTTTTAGGCCTGACTTCACACCTATGCATTTCAGGGAATTAGATCAGCATGCAGTACTTTGTGTGATGTGTTGCAATTCCATTAATATAG